TGCTCAGGACGTAAAGCGCTCTGCAAACCAAACTGAGCGATGCAGGTGAATGCAAAGTAGCTGGAGTGTTGTGTGCATGGAAACACTTTGTGAATTATGGCTCGGTTCATTAGTGCAGAGTTTGGATTGTGGGGCTGTGTAAAGTTTGTGATGTTTCTACAGTTGTGTTATTTTATTCAGTTGTGATGAATTAATGTGAGTATGTCTGTGGATGTTTGTCCTGTGTGAATGCAAATAAAGGCCTTTTGCGTTGCATTGATCTGAAATTAGATCTACAACACTGTAATGCATTCAGTTTGAAAAAAAAAAAAAAAAATCCTCGATTGTTCTGACGCCAAGTTGACGATGGAAACTTCACAACAACAACAGTGAAAGCCTTTTTATTGAGATGAGACGAGCTGTCAATCAGCATTTTACTGGATTTTACACAACAGTTGGCACGACAGGAATCCATAGTGCTCAAACTCACACGCCCTCAAAACCTCGTAAAACACCAGAAGAACTAAGAATGTGTTTGGGCACCGCATTGTACAGCGTGTTTTTAAACATACATAGGATATACATAGAGAAAACACAAAAAGTATACAACGACATGAGTGTTTGTATAATGTACACACACTTATTCAGATCCCAATGAGGTTATATTACAGTAATATCTATCATATGTATAATATCCAGCTACGTCTCTAATCGTACTGAGGCCTGTTGGCCGACAAGTGGTGTCAGGTGAAAATACAGTTTGTGACAAAAATGTAATATTTGACAAATTAAAATTTCCAGCTGGTTGTAAAAGTATGTTGGATTATAAGCGATGACATCACTCACTCACGTGCCAACGTTTTTGCCAACTTTCCGAATTGTTCCGACGTGAGATGGGCGTTAACAACTCCGTGTTAAACCACCATCACGTCTATTTAGCCAGAGCTAGGAGATTATTATCTTAGGTTAGCAGTGGAAACGCAGTAGCTAGCTTTAAAAGTTCACCTTTTAAACTCTAATTAACAAAAACTAAGGTGCTAAAAGAACCTGTTGATGTTTTATGACGTTTTATTTGTGTAGTCGTCACGGTAGCTTATTGTTGAGCGTTCAGACACAGTTAACAATCAAGAAAATGCTTGTGTATCGTTTTTTTTGTCAAACTACTCATTTAATCTACTATCATAAATAACGTGGACCCTCTCTGTGAGGTGTCGCGACGCCATCGAATCGATCGGTTTGTAGCTCATATTGGATGACGGATGTTTTACAGCTGAGATTTTCAGTCAAAGGTCACCAGGGTCCACGACGCGTCCCTTCACCAACTCACCACCGGCCGCTCTGTGTTTGAACAGGGCTCAGTATTTACATTCAGATCTATTTCAGGGCGGAAACATGATGTGCAGTGAGCATTAACACACGTGTCAGGTTTACCAAGTCCTCGCGCTCGCAGATCTGAGTTGCAGCAGGAGGTTGAAGTGCAGCGGCGATGAAATGCTGGAGATAATGCTGATGGGGGATCTGAGGAGAAGGTCAGATGTAAGATGTCTCCTGCTGTGAGCGTCTCAGATTAACACAGTGAGATGTGTTGAGGAGGAGGATCGGCTGGTTCACCTGCACTGACCTCTGCTCTCAGTGGCGATACAGTCCCTCTGTACACCATCGTTTATCTGAGTGGGCAGTACTACTACAGTTTTTGAGATATTTGTATTTTACAATACCTCTACTCCACTGTACGTCAAATATTTAAGGCACTTTTTACTTTGACAGCTCTAATCACTTCCATCGACGTCAATACGAGCTAATAAAATATGATCGGCTGTTAGAGGTTGAATTACCCAACAGCTTATGAGTTCTAAATGAATAAATAAACATTACTTTGCAC